CCAGGCAGGATCCATGGGACTGGCATGCCGCCGCAGAAAGACCCCGTACATCAACCCACCCCAATGTAAGTACAAATTCCAGTCCCATTGTTTGGGTATGGCAAGTGAGGTCCAGTAGTGAGACCATAATTGAATGTGCGGAACGTGGCTCTGATAGAGATGGAAACGGGTAACCCCCCTCACACTTCATGGAGCATTTTTCCACGTGCGTCGCTCAGTGTAAAAAGGCTTTGCGGAGGTTTGGCGTGTCAATTGACGCCCTCCAAAGCATCCAACACCGAAAGCCGTTTCAGGCACTTCCCGCGGACATGTCACTCAGCGGCCGCGCGGAGAAACCCCAAAGACCCCCATGGACCCCGACGTTTCCGTGGTCGATCCCCGACGTTTCAACGACCGCCACCCACGGGTCCGGGCGCGGAAACCACCGGTCGCGGCCGGCTCTCTGAGAGGCGACGGGTCCGGTCGGACCGGGGTGCTCAGCTCGTGGAGGAGGCGGTCGGGGCCGGTCGGGGCGGGGTGGGAGTCGGTGCGAACGCGTGGAGGTGTCAGGCGCGGGAGGTGTTGTGTGTGTGGCGGTCATAGGAACATGACACACGACCAATGGGACTGGAACTCAAATATGAGGCCCCAGAAAGACCCCATTGACCCCATCCCCTTTCACTACCTCAACGACATACATGGAGCATCTGGGATGGGCGGAAGAATGGGGACTGGAGCCAAGTGAGAGCTGTTTACTGGTCCCAAGCCTCGAAACCAGGACTGTTGGAGGGTGGTGGTGGACTATTTCAGAAGGACGACCCTCTTAAAGTGACTTGTGTGTCAAAACTCAGAGGCTTTATGAGTCATGTGTACACTAAAACTCTAGGCACCCTAACAGGGATTGACAGGGATGAACCCTTTTCTAGTGGAGATTGTTTTTTCCAGGTTTTTCCGGTTCCTGTTCCTGGACAAAAATCCAAGAATGTGACTGGGGACCTTAGGAATCTTTGGGAGCTGGAGATGTGTCTTTCTTGCTCGCTCGCAAGGCATTCTCAAGCAAAGCATATCTTGGAGTCCCACTTGCCCGAGGAAACAGTGTGAGTTGGTCCCAGCGCTATTGACGCGTGTCATGTCTTAAACAGAACTATATACACGACAGTGCATACAACAACATGTCAGCAGATTGAGTTTTTGAGCCTGAGAGCTGTTTTGTTGCGGACCAACAGAGGTTGAAGGAGCCTATAGCCTATCCCACACGTACCCCAGTAAGGTCCTATAAGGTCACTTATATAACCTTTCTTGGGATACCCGTACTCTTGAAACCCGACTGACCTCGTTTCCTCCAGCACGACTCGGACAGTTTCATCAGCTCCAGGGCCGCAGCTCCTCATCTGGAAGGCCACACACCAAAGCAGCACTTTCGCTGCGCGAGCGGTCGGTCAGGTCCAAAAGGCCCAGCCGGTCGCTTCAGCCGAACAGCCAACAGGTTCGGCTCCCATAGACAAGTCGCCAAGACTCAGAGTGAAGCGCCAACTCCAGTCGGAAGGCACTTTACTAGTAAGGCACCAGTTACTAGTAGCGTTGCACTTGTTACATCTTGTTACTAGTAGAGGATGTCTCTCGCATCCGGTAAGAAAGTTCAGAGATTCCTTTTCTGGAAGGCCAAACAAACCCAACAGGCCGATTTCCAGGCTCAAGATACAATCTCTTGGCTTCTCACAAAAATGCTTTTCCAAGCATTTCGAATGCGCCAGTCCAATCACCTTGAACTCGGTCGCCATGAAGAAAAACATGTTTGTTCCCCATACAGGGTCAGTTTGAACTCATTTTACTGGACTTGGTCATGCAAACAGCTATCCTGGATCCTCAAGGAGGTAAAGACGTAAAACCGGGTGTCAGACTGGACTTGTATAGATGTCCGCTTTCCAAGTGCGTTCCTCCTAGGACCTTTACTTCGAACAAAACAAAAAAAACCACCGAGCCGGAGCTCCGTACCCGACCCGACCGAGCCGATTTCGCTCCGTACGGAACCCGTCGAAGGCCGCGGCGGAGTGCCTCCTCCTCCGCTCTCTCCAGGCATCGCCCGGATCGACCGAGGCGGTCCGCCGATGCCCCTTCCGTCGCTGGGTGGAGACCGAGCGAGAGAGGGAGACCGAGCGATTTGCGGCCACGATCCCTGGATTCGGTGCGGGAAAGAGACCGGTCTACCCTGGCCAGGCCCTGGCCAGGGGGTCTCCCTATTTAAAAGTTCAGAAGTTTTTTTTAATATATGATGCAAGGATCATCATGTTTCATGCAGATACCCCAATCCCCCCCGCAGTGGCCCCGCACAGCTACTCCGCACCAGCCACCCAGCTACCACGGGGTTCTGTGGACAAGATTGTGGCACTTCTGGGGATGGTTTCTTTTGTGCTTCTTTGGGAAAGAGTGGCAAAAGTAACTAGTGGGGGTGTATGCCGGGGAACCTCTCCAGACGCACCACGCTCTTTGCATGTCGAATCTCCCCAGAAGTTCGTTCGTTCATGTCGACTCACGAAAGTCTCATGATGTAGTGCTTGTTGCCCATGGTTAGTTGGTATAGCGGCATCCCCACGTACTTGAACCATTTCAACGCCTCGGCAGATCGACCGTGGAGAGTGAAAGAGACGCTCCCTATTTGCCAGAGGAGATCAGGGGGAGTGGTCCGGTGCACCAGCTTTAGGGGCTTTTGGGGTAAACGAAAATGGTGGATCCACGGAAAAAAAACAATTCAGATCAGATGTATCATATAGCATTAATTATATATAGCGCCGCTATTAATTATATACTTTGACTGACGTTGGTTTCCTCGAAAAACAAAGAAAGACACCAAGTTTGCAGACACTCCATGTAATGATTGCACCGCCATTGACGAAGGATGCTTCAGATCGTCTCTGAACGGAATCAGAGAGCCGGAAGAATATGGTGTTTTATTTGCCTCCCTTTGGCAGAGTTCCACACCTTTTTTCCGGCAGCCAACTCCAGCTTGGTCTGAAACGGGGGGCGTTTCGGAGTTTCGCCCCCGTTCACAGCGAGCGGCTGGTCCTGCCGCCGCTCGGGCGCTCGGCCGCCGGCTCGGCCGCTCGGCGGAGGACTTGGCCGCCCTGAAGAGCTTTCCTTTGGTGGATGAGTGGCTCATGAAGGTCCGTCTACACGAGGCGCCCACAGACCGCCGCTTTAGTGTGGTCCGGGTGTTTTTTCGCGACACACCGCGAGGGTTGGTTGGGGGGTCGGTTGGGTGGGTGCACCGGGGTGGCAATGGCTGAAGAGGCCTCTGGTGGTAAAGGCATGTTGTGACTGATGAGATACAGAAACATGCCATCAACATATTCCTGAAAGAAGTTGAAGCATACACGAATCACCAGGATTTTACAATGCGCATGCTGTTTGGGTGTCCTGGCTGGACTACCGCAGCCCACTGCTATTCGGGATCTCCATCGGACCAACTTTGGATGGACCACCTGGGCCACCGTGAGACCTGCAGCTTCACCACCTTCCAGCTTGGCCCGGTCCAACCGTAAGGCCCGGTCTTCTGGTCCCATGTGATGGTCCCATGGCCCATGGAGCCATAGATTGTTCGGTTCCCATTGCGTCGTGACCGAACATGTTGGAACCGAAACCGTCGCACCGCCCGGTCGAAACCGCGGGGGAGGGAGTCGATGGTCGAACGCCCCCAGGTGGACGGTCGAAAGCCCCAGCTCCGCTTCGAGCCGCGGCGGAACTCAGCCCACTGGGTGCCTGGAAGCAGGCGGTCCGGGGAGGTGGTCGAGGAAGGTTGAGAAGGACGGTGGAGCAGAGGCACATGGAAAGAATTATGATCTTTGACATGAAAGATTTTGAACGGAACCCGTCCTTGACTTCAAGAGTCCAGAGGACCTATGAGGACATTCTTAGATTGTAGTGCTTTTACTATATACAGATGTTGCGTTGGCTTTAGATTTAAAAGAAACCGGATGTTTGGCGCCAGGATGTATGTTGACTACAAGCCCGTGTTCTATTTGGAGTGAGGCTGTCGGCCTCGTTGTCGGCCGGGTCGTGCGGGCAGGCCGCACGACCGCCACTGTCCGAGGTCCACAGATGGCATGGGAAGACATGGTCAAAAGGCATAGAAAACCCATAGAACTTGGAGAGGAGAGTTAGTAGGAGTGTTGAAACGTCTTAGACACAGAGCGATTTTTTCGGATTTGGGAATCAAACTTTGGGAAGTACAGTGACAGTAGGAGGATTATGCACTTCAACAGCTGTTTCACGCCGGATTTGGACAACACTTGATCCAAACTTGAAACAAGGTGTATTAAACATCACGCCATTGCATCTGGGAACATGACATGTCATGCAATTTCGATCGTCAGATGAACCAGTGACATTTGTGCTTTCCTCTCAACGTGTGTTAGCCCGAATTCCACCTGCTTCCGAATTCCACCCTCGTTTTTTCTTTAAACATACCACCCATGTTTGGGAAATCATGACAACAGCTCTGTGTTCATCTCGATGTTCCTTGGCCACCTTTTCCCCCTATTTTGGAGCCACCGTTCATGGCGGCCCCCTTTTGTGCCCACCGGACCCCACCAAGTGGGACCGACGTGGATGGCCCGCGCGGCGTGGTGGGTCGCAAAATGGCGAAGGCGCGGCGAGCAACTCGGCGCGCGCGCGCGGGGGCGCACGCCGTGCTTTTGGGCGAAGTGGCAGAGCTGAGGGCTGTGGTCTGGGGTGATAGACTCCATGGACTGAAGTGTGAAGTCGATGGTGTTCCTGCGGGATGCCGACCGTCTGCGCTGTCTGCGCAAGACGGTTTGTAAGCAAAAAACAATGTGTAAAATTGGAAAACCGACTCCGATTTCAACCATCAATTTCCAGCGATGCAGTGGTTCTTCTGATAGCTTGCTTGGACGGTCAGCAGGGAGTTGTTTTGAACAAGAACGGCACACACCCACACACCCACACCTTGGTTTTGGTGGAAAACATTTGGGAGAGGGCAGAAAGGCAGGGTGGATGAGTCATCACTTCCTTTCTGACCAAAGCAAGTCAGCAAGTTGGAGTCCCAACCTTCTTTCAAGATGTTTCAAGTGTTCAGCCAGACTACAAGGGCACAGCAACAGGATGCAAGAGGGCCTGCAATGGAGCCCTTTTTTATCCTTTTTCTATGCTTGGCTTCCACGCATGTATCACTTGTGTCAACTGGCAGCGTTCCTTTCGTCTCCGCTGCCGTCACTAGCTCCGTTCCCAGCTTTAGCACTTGCAAGCTGTCACGCACACCATTGTGCGCGAGCCCATCTGAGAAGAGGACATGTTGAGGCGGGTTGGGCGCTGGCACCGAAAGGGACGGGGAGGGGGAACACACACAGGCCAACAGGCCAGTCGTTTAGCTAGCATACACACCATGTGACAAATCCGAGAGTGAAACAAGCAATACAAACCAGATATATGTTTTGTCCCAAGCTGGGGCTTAAGATAGACCGACGTCGGCCTTGGCACCTACCAATACTCCTAGACCCTATATACCACCCAAAGGAGTTTACAGGATGGGGATATATGGGGATTGGATGGTAAACACCATGGACAAAAACCATGGTTCGAGGGGTCTATCAACCACCCGAGGTCCCACCGGGTGGTGCTGGGATCGGACAACAAGACCCACGCGAACCACGCCAACCACCCGAGGCCGTTGAACCACCTGGTGCGGGCAGGTGCGATGGGCGTGGGCCAGGTGAATCATCGTCAAACAAGAAATAAAAGAAACATAGCACCAAGTCCTGTATATGATACCAGATCAATCCATCTATTGTTGCCAGAAGGACATCATTGGTTGTGTGCTTTGAAAAAATCGCTCAGTTGCAGTTGGTTTTTGGTATTTAGAATTCACAGAATCTGACTGTGCATAACTCCTTTTGTACTGGAAATATTGGCACAATGTGGGGTTTGATGCAAGCTGATTTTTGAGGACCTGCAGTGTGGGGCATTCTTTTGGTGCCTTTTCAGGCTGTTGATTGATGTGTTTGTTATTTTTTTAAAGGTAATGTGTGTTCTTTCTTTCGTAGCAACCTGCCATACCATGGCATATGCATGCCATATACCTATAGTTGTAGAGGAACATTGGACCATTGAGCCCGTTAGTTACAGTCCTTGGAATCATCATGGAGGTGGAAAAGCAAATGGTCATCCAAGGGGCCATCCATTTTCCACTAGATGATGATTCCAGGGAGTGTCAACGTTGTTTCACAACGTTCGACCACCCGTGCGATCGATGACTAAGACCTGCAAAAAGTTCGTTCGACCACCCAACGGCCCCAATGACTCAGGGAGCAAGTCAGACATCGCCAGACGAAGTCCGGACTCCGTTCGAGGTTGGACCGATGATCCGCCGCAGTGGGACGAAGATCCCTTTTTGGAAAGGCTTACCCAGATGCTCCATGGACGGGACATATACCCGACTCCCTTTTCAACCAAGCCATTGTTACATAGACCCTAGAAGTTCAGGCCTGACGATGTTTTGCACCACCCAAGGTTTCAGGAACTGGACGAGTAGATCACCGTTTTCTTTTCAGATCGTTTAAAGCATGCCTTTCCTGGACTCCCAGTTCTTTTTGTGTTTGGCTTAAGGTGATTTTTGCCCTACGGGTAAATCAAATCCTCTTTGGATGATTGTTTTTCTTTTCTTTTTTTATTTCTGGGATCCCTGTGGAGTATTTCACAACACATGGGACTGGCATATTTACCGATCAGTTGAAGCGGTTGATGTACAGGGTCAATGTTGGTATATTACATGGCTGTGGGTCATAACCGGGGTACCTTGGTTGACCACCGAAAATGAACTGAATGGTCTCTGTTTGTCCTGTCTGTCCTGTCTGTCCTGTCCTGTCCTGTACTGTTCTGTCCTGTTTGTCTGTCTGTCTGCTGTCCTGTCCTGTCCTGTCCCGTCCCGTCTTTGTCTGTCTCTGTCTGTCTCTGTCTGCCTGTCTCTCTATCTCTGTCTGTCTCTGTCTCTGTCTCTTTTGTCTATCTCTGTCTGCCTGTCTCTCTGTCTTGTTTGTCTGTCTCTGTCTCTGTCTCTGTCTTTCTTTGTCTCTGTTTCTTTTGTCTGTCTCTGTCCGTCTCTGTTTGTCTCTGTCTGTCTCTGTGTGTCTGTCTGTCTCTGTCTGTCTCTGTCTGTCTCTGTCTGGTTGTCTGTCTATTTCTATCTCTCTCTCTCTCTCGCTCTCTTTCGCTTTGTTTTTCTGTCTAGTAGTTGCCGGTGTTGATGTTTGAGTTGAAAACACGCAGCTCTGCTGGACGTGTATTGCATCAGTCATTGGTTGCGAAAGGAAGGGGAGGAATAAATCAAGAAAATAAAATAGAATTGGTCAAACGTGGTGGAGACACCCTTTTTGTGGGTTACATGCCGAATGTGGTCCGAATGGCAGCTTTTTTGTTGCCATTGGCGTCAAAAGTAGAGGTTGCGCGTCTGCTCCTCCGTCAGTTGCAGGCTCGGTGACTGGCGCGTAGTTCAGACATGATGGGAGGGAGGCAAAGGAAGAGAATTTGAAAGTGATGTCCATACAGTGGTGCATTGGGCCTTGCTGAAGGACAATTGTATGTTGCACCCACATGTCTTTTACATCGGTGTCTACATAGCAACCACATTTTTAATTGTTTGCTCTGTGAATTGTAACTATGGGGAAATGTTCTTGAGCTTGTAAGCCAACACTTTACACTTTGCTTTGCAAGTTTGAAGTTCTTGAGGAATCAAATACACATCTTCCAAAGACTGCGCGCCAACATGTGACAACCTGCAAAAATGACACATTCATTGAACTTTCCCAAGTGGCTTGGACCCATGTATGCCACAACATCTTCCAAAGACTGTGTGCCAACATGTGGCAACAAAGATGCATCTGGGCTATATGCTTCATGGTCTGACCAAAATGTGCAAAAACATTTACAAATACATTTTGCACAAATTCATGCTCACTCCACATATGTTTCACTAATTCATTCACAAAGCCACCACAAAGAGCCAATGAAAAACAAGTGTTTTGACAGCCCGTGTGGTAGACAGTTCTGATGTTGTTTTCAAGAATAGCATCAAAAGCTGTGGTGATATTTCTAAAGAGAATAACATCAGGGGCTATTCTTTACAATAACCTCAGTGAGGTTAGAATTAAGCAAAATATCCTCCGATGGTATTTTTAACCTCAGCTGATTAACAGACCAGATCGCAACGATCGCTCAAGCAGGCACGCGTAGTAGTAGTAGTAGTAGTAGTAGTAGTAGTAGTAGTAGTAGTAGTAGGAGTAGGAGTAGTAGTAGTAGTCGTAGTCATAGTAGTAGTACTACTACTACTATGACTACGACGACTACTACTACTACTGACTACTACTAGTGACAACAACAACAACCACAACAACAACAAGTAGTAGTAGTAGTAGTAGTAGTAGTAATAGTAGTAGTAGTAGTAGTAGTGGTAGTGGTAGTGGTAGTGGTAGTGGTGGTGGTAGTGGTAGTGGTAGTAGTAGTAGTAGTAGCAGTAGAGTACTACTACTAGCACTACCACTACCACTACCACTACCACTACCACTTATACTACTACTACTACTACTACTCCTGCTACTACTACTACTACTACTACTACTAATAACCACTACTACTAACTACTACTACTACTAACTAACTAACTAACTAACTAACTAACTAACTAACTAACTAACCAACTAACTAACTAACTAACTAACTAACTAACTAACTAACTACTACTACTACTATACTACTGCTACTGCTGCTACTACTACTAGTAGTACCGGATTTTGCCAGTGTCAATCTTGCCAATCAGTTGCTGCTGCTCAGGACTTGTCTGACCTCCCCGACTGGTCTTTTGACCGTGCCCATTGATGCCTGCATTTTCAGCCAGCATGGATGATCGACACTGCGAAGAAGGACACGTACCAGAAGGCTTTGGGTGACGGATCAAGACAGTCAAAAAAACGACGTTGAGAGAGGCCAGTGCCACCCAACACTGCTGAAACCTAGAAGGGGAGTCAAGGTTCCCTCAAAGGCCGGCGTCGCTGGAGAGGCGGTCAGGCCATGCTGGTGGCGTGACCGTTGGTCAGGAGGAGGAGGAGTCCCCGGCGTAACGGGGCGCGACGACCGACCACTTCCTCGTGGTGACCCCCCCGGAAACTACTCCTCCTTTTCGCAGCGCAAAGGAGGGGTAGGCTAAGAGTCGGTCAACCGTGAGGACTCTATGATGCCTGCATGGCATCCATCGCTCACCGCAGAGTGTCCCAAACATGCGACACGCCCGCACCGCCTATACTCCATGATGCCTGCATGGCATCCATCGCTCACTGCGGAGTGTCCGAAACATGCGACACGCCCGCGCCACCTACCCTATGATGCCTGCGTGGCATCCATCGCTCACAGCGGAGTGTCGCAGGGTTGGATTTGTGGGGTGGGCCTGCTGAGGATTGATTGTTTTGTCGGGTGCTGCTTTGGTTTTGTTTTTCTTGTGAATGCGAGACGTGACCTTGCTTTGGCGGACTGGGTGTGATGTCGTGTGGGGTGTTGGGGTGGCTGTTGGTTTTGCATTTGGAATGAGCCTGGCAGGATCCGGAGCTTTTGTTGTTGTCGTGGCTTTTTTGGTGCTTGCATGCAAGCATATAGTTTGGTTTACGCGCGGTCTTTAAGGCTTACAACTATATATTATCAAATATTTCAGTTTTTTTAAATTCAGTCTTATATATGTTTGGTTTGTATGGTATAAAAATTTGTAGCTGTGTTTCAATTTCTGATGCATTATAGGATAATGCAAATGATGAAATTATACTACTCACCAGTGGCTTAGGATTTGTCGGAGGTATGCCAAAAAGCAGTGTCCTATCTCATGAAAAGTACTTTTTGACCAGTTTTTGGTTCACAACCCCTCTCATAAAACCTAGCAAGGCAAAACAGGAATGCTCTTGAAATTTTCAGAAAAATGGTGAGCCCAGTGCATGTTTGGCCGGATGCCAACACATGAAATACTACTTGTCCATGTCCTAGCATGTCCTTGGATGTCTGTGCGTGGCTAAATTATGGTTGTTTAGGCGTGTGGGCAGCACGACATGAGATAGGAGGTGACTTTGGAAAATTGTGTTTCTCTGTGACAGATTGTGCATGATTGTGCGCTCTATTTCTTGTTATCCGCCTCAAAATTTTCAACCTGGTGTCATTGAAGATGTGCATGCACCATGAGCTGGAACTTGTTGGCATTCTGCTGTATGTTGCTCCTGTCTCTTCATGGAACATCTGGCTGTTCTGAAATGGCGGGGTTCCATTTTGCCTCATGAGTTAGGAATTGTGCTGCACAACTCCTAACTCTTAGGATAGTTATATGTTGAAAGTTCATTTGTATTTTGGAGACTTAGTTTTTTGAAGATGCAGTAGCTTACTAATATGTGAAGTTTTTTTTGCATTTGCTGCGTTTTTGAGGCATTACAGGAACATACAAAATATATATATATATATATTTGCAAGTTTGAGGAACTAAATGCATAAAATAAACTGCCAGGTCTGGTCAGACTGGACCCCTGTGCAAGGTGGGTGCCAGGGCCAAGGCCAAGGCATAAGGATAGTTCTGTGTGTGTGTGTTACCCACTGCTGTGCGTGTGTGAATGCCTGTTTGTCTGGCAGAAGTTCCGTGTGAGACTAGGGTGAATTGGGGATCGACCCTTGGCTTGCACAGGTGAGACAGACAGACACTACTAAGGCTCATTTTCGGTGGAGTACTAAGGAGGTCAACTTACCCTGGTGAAAGGGGCTCTGGGTGCTATATCCTCCAGTCCTATGGAGTGCCTGGGATCTTTTGCTTTGAAAAGATCCCGTTGACCACCCGAACTGAACGACGTGAGGTCCCCGGATTCCCCTCCCAGCCTTTGCTCGGCCGTTGGCCGCGCCGGGACCTTAGTGCGTGGAGTTGGAATTTCGGAGGGTGATGAAAACAATGAGAAATCCAGAGAGCATATTTTGGTGGAGGCCTCCAATTTCAGCCATTTCCTTCAGTCTTGTGTTCAGCCAAAATGGCACCCACGAAGCCACCTCTTTTGGGGATGCTGTGCGCGAAGGTCTGGTGACCTGGCCGGGCCAAACTTGAAACACATTTCCCGGCAAACGTCGCAACCCTAACCTTCAATGTAGTGTCCTTTGATTCATCAAGGTTTCCTCCTCAGACAAGGTAGAACCTTGGTGGAACCTTTGCACGCCGTGGAGGGTATATTTTTTTCCAGAGTCTGTCAATGATCAGTGCCTTTCTGGTCGGATCTCAAGTCTAGAAGGCCAAAACCACACCGGAACCAGGCCCAGCTCTAAGGCCCTTAGGTTCAAAAGAGCGTGACTGTTGTCGACGAACCGAATTTGTTTTGGGGATAGACTGGATAGATTGGCATGAGATGAGTTATCCAGAAATCCACCCCATTGACATCCATGGGGTCCAAACTCAATGGCAGTTATGCCTTGCTGGAGCGTTCTTGTTGGACCTGTAGGACCTAGACTTAGGACCTAAACTTAGGAGACCCTGTGGTGAGCTGTACACTCTATTAACATCTATTAACAACCCTTTGGCTCTTATGATGTTCTTTCTCATCGTTCTCCTGAGGCTAGCGAAGCCTAGAGACCCTGAAAAGCCGCTGATGCTTGGTGAAGAACGCAATTTTTCGTTACCCTTCCAAATTTCATCCAATTTCTACCAGTTTCCGCAGGTGGGTCTGGGGTTTTGTGTTCAGTAATGGGTGTGGGTCAAAACCTCACCCACCAAACCATGGTTAAGGTTTTCATCCCGAACATAGAGGAAACGGTTCATTCTGAGCGTGTTTGAACCAGACCTCAACACCACAGCAAAAACCAGGGCAGCTGCAGTGTTTCTTGAGCCATCATTCAGGTCGGTTGTTGGCATATTTCATGCCTCAAATCATGGCAGCTTCATGCCTCACATCTATATGAAAAAAGGCGATCCACACTCCCCCTGCTTCATGTTGAAGCATCGAGTGCACAGCCCTTCGGAAACAGATACCTTGGCACCTGTCGACAGTCTATGGGTTCACCATCTCAAACCCACCGTCGGTTTCTAAAGCCCAAGGATCATCAATTTGGTCATGGTTCGACCGGTAAGGCATCGGGCCCTCATAAGACGTTGCAGGCGGAGCAGCACTTGTAATCGGCGACGACCGAGATGTAGTGCGAGCGGCATTGGCAAGCTCCCCCCAAGATGCCCATGGATCGGCGTCTTCAGTCGCCGCAGCTGCCACACCTGGCTTCCGTTTCTCCTCCTGCACCCTCTCTGCAACGGTCGGCGCAGATTGGATGCTTCCAGCGTCCCTTCCCCTCTGTCCTGGTCCTCCACGGGCATATCCAGCACGCGGGGTCGGCGACGACGGGCGTTCGGAGACACCTGGTGCAGTTGGACACATATTCACTGCCGAGGAGCTGGAAGTCGCCATCGATGAAGTCGGTGCGGCTGCTTGACCATCATGGCATCGAAAAAACGTCCAGCCCTTCCATGTTCCTGTGCGAGGGAGAATCTGACGAGGCCCCAACGACCAAACATCATCAATCAGCAGCCTCTCGCTCCCAGGTTCGGGGTGGTCAGGATAGGCCAGAGTCACCCGCTGGCCAGTCAACGTTGTGAAATCCACCGGAGTCCCACGATGAACCGGGTGGAACGATTGGACACGCCCGCCACCATGAGCGCGAATCAGCCACTTGTCGGTGGCTGGATTGAAAGGAAGCCAACGGTCTTTTCCTCTCGGAGGCGCCTCAAAGAGGGGGTTGGTCCAAGGAGTGGATGAGGTGTAGTAGTACTCATGTACTTCAAATTCTCGCGCCAGCTCCGCCTCTCTGTCTGCAGCCCGCCGGAATTCCTCAGGAGTGGCAGGATGCTTGAATGCCGCCAGTCGCGGCAGCCCATCATTCCATGGCTTCCGCACGGTCGGGTGGGACGACCCAAGGTCGCCCAAAAGTTCAACCCTGTCTACCAGTCGAAGCGGCTCGAACGACGGATCGGTTGATGGATCTTCTGTACTTCTTTTCGCCCCTTCAGGGTCTTGATTCTCTTCTTTTGAAGTGGTCCCTGACCATCTTGTCAATTTCTTGATTTCGGCATTTTGCCAATCTTTTGACTCTTGAGATTTTCTTCCTTCACACATCCTAGCTACTGCTAACGATAAGGCTGCAATCGCAACCGTCGAGGCGATCTTCGCTCCAGTTGAAATGGTTGGAGCAGCTAAGGCAATCCCTAAAGCACCTACCGCTGCAAGAGCTGACATCCGGAGCTTGGTGAGACCTACGGACCTACCCAACTCACCACTCTCACTTCGCTGCAGGCCGGTCACCCGGAAGAAGTCGTTCCATGTCCTTCCCAGGACAATCGATTTCGTGAGAAGATCTGCGCACAGCTCACTTCCGGGAACATGCTCAATACTCCATAGCTTGTTGGCGATCCGCTCACGGAGAACATGACTCCTCAGCCGGAGGTGTCGAGTGCGCCAGGGGCCGCTGGGGGCCTGCAGCAGTTGAAGCCCGGAAAGGTTGTCACCCTTCAGGATATAGGAACCATCGCGCTCCAAGGCATTGAGCTCCAGGACATTCACAATCGCCCCAACACTTTCTCCCATGCTCAAGGCGTCCACATATCCAAGAAGCTCGCTCTCAGTAGTTGAAAGTGTGGCAAACGGCTGTGCCTTCGACTCCCACGAGACCAGCCCTCCAGCCCAAAAAGCCAAGAGACCTTGATGGCCTCTTCCACCACCAGGGGCAAAGGATGCGTCCGACGCCACCTCAAGACGAGAGAGTGAATCACGTCTCCCAAAGTCATCTACCTTCTCCTTGGGGGGGCTGTAGACCAACGCCAAATCCGTGGTGGCATGGAGATAGCCAACAGCGTGTTCGGCAAGCTTCAAAACCCTCTTTGGGCACTTCGTGACTCGAGACCCAAGGTACGCGACAGCAAAACTGAGGTCGGGTCTCGTCCTTGTAGAAAGCCACAACAGCTCCCCAATCACGACCTGACAAGCCCGAACATCTTCTGGAGAGATATCATCTTCGACCAAATCGTCGTCCAGCTTGGGCAGGGGAGAGGGCTTCGGCTGTGCTTCAGGGTGACGACTGACAACTTCCTTGGCATAGTCAGGTTGCCCAAGAAGCAACCCTTGGTCGCTCCAGCGCAGCTGCATCCCACAAAACTTCAGCCAAGACTCACGGTCAACCCAGGCCGGTTTCGAGCATCGCCACATAGTCGACAGGCGATCCAAAAAGGATGATGCGGCCAACTTTTCTCCCATGACTATGAAGTCGCCCACATACGAAAGGGCATAGCCAACCGGAGCGCCAGCCTCAAGAGCAACCCCCATGACACGCCAGACGTTCGGCTCAGGGGTCGCCACAATCCAGAAATGCCAGCCAGAGGTCCACCAGCGCATAGATGACAAGGCATTATCTCGGTAGCTCTGCCAGTCAGCAGGGGAGGTGTCAAGGCCATAGACCGCAGCCTCCACAATCCACCGATCATCCTTGTCAACCAATCCAGCATGAGAAGGACAGAAGGCGGCTTGGTGACCATAAGTCTTGAGGACTTCCTCGGAGCCAACAAAAAGGCAGTGGAGACGTCAGTCACACCAATCTCCCAATTTTCAAAAGCAGCCTTTCTGAGCGCACATCGCAAGGAGGCTCCATCGATCCCACTTGCATAGAGCTCGAAGGACTTGGCAGAGGACTTGTCCGCCTGAGAATCTTGAGGACCAGGTGAAGTTCTCTTCGACGTGTCCTCCAAAAGGTTCCCACACAAAACAATCCTCGACTTCTTTCTGCCGTCAGGCGCTTTCACGGTGGGGACGAGCTTCGAGGGGACCACGAGCATTTCATCATACCCTGGCTCCTTTTCCAAATCAGAGACCTTCACTGAGCGCACCGCCTTGGTGGTGACAAGAAGAGAATCCATCTCCTTCTTCAGCGACGGGATCCATGCATCAAGATCTTTTCTGACCTGAGCAAGGGGAACGGTATAGGTTTGCAGAACTGCATGCACACCTTCAGGCGCTGCTTCCGTCATAGTTGAGACCTCACCCGGCATGGATTTCAGGCACATCGAAGCCACCTGATAGCGCTCTTCATAGTCATGCAGCTGTAGGAGGTCTTCCTCATATGCCGCCACCACCGCCTCCAAGTAGTCCATGGCGCAGCCCTGAAGCCTTCCCTCCTCCTCCCCAGATACCAGATGGCGAGACGAACGCGACCAGTGTTGCTTCCAGCCCCAAAGTTCATCCCCCAAGAGCTTCTTCAACTTGATGCCATCAGCCAACGTGCACTCCACGCGTCCATTCATGACGAGGTTGCGCACAGAGCCGACTGGTTCTTCACAAACACGGCATTGGATCTCCGGGCAGACGATCTTTTCATCTTCCCACCTCGTCGGAAGTGGATTTTGACATACCTGCAGTCCACATCCTCGGCAATTGGCTCCTTCATCAGGATTTCCACCTCGATCTTCTCCAGAGCCATTCATTCCACAACCAAAAGACTCCCCCCAGCCCGATGCTCAGGTAGGGCTGGAACTTTGGGATAAACATGTGGGGGTTCTCCCCCGGAACCAGGAGCAGCATTGTGTTCTCCCCCGGCTCTGCATTCAACCTTTTGAATAGTCGGATCAGGGTGCTGCAAAGGCAATGGGATTGGCACGACGTCAGGATCAGCAGGCTGCTTTCCAGTCAATCGTCTCGATGGTCGACCAGGGTTTTCCACTTCTTGTAGTTCAAGTACTGCACGATCAGCCAACGGATCTGTCCTTACTGCAAGTCGGGCATGCTGTACCTGGGAGCCGTCACGAAGAACATATCCAGTTGACATAAAGGGACTTGGTCCAAGGATCTGCATCGTTCGAAAAGGTGGAATCAGCGGGCCGAATCCAGCACGATGCCATCGCTTGGTTTTGACAGTGACCCTGTATCCAATCGGTAGCAGTGGAGTCTGTGGAACACCCAGCTTGCGACACTGCTGCCTCAGCCTTTCCTCCCCAACGTAGCGAGCCACGCCCGGCCATAGTGACTGATCCAAGCCGGATTCCCGTAGAAGTAGGCGGAGTCGGCGCTTCACCTGCTGCACCTCAGCTTCTATGCGCCCATTGGATGGCCCCTCATCTCCTCCAGTCATGGTCTGGTAGAGCCCGAAGTGCCGCCACACCTGTTGAAATGTTCTTGACAAGAATGCACTTTCTCGATCAGTGTGAACTCTGATCATTCTGATTCCGAGAGCCCGGAATCTTGAGTACAGCTTCACGGCGACCTTGGCAACATCATGCTGACCACGGGACTCGAGAGGTTCAACCACGGTGACATTCTGGACGCCGACTGGGGAGCTGAGATCCTTGGCATACTCCTCCCATCGTTGGTTCAGGGCAGCAACTCGATCATCCGGTGGTTCTTCCGGCTCTGCATCATCAAGCGCTGGAAGAGGTTGATCCTGTTGAACATCTTCAGAGGAGGGTCCTTCAGGTTCTGTGGGACAATAGTCATCCATGCCTGGGACTTCTCTGGAGACCTTTGGAAGTGGAACTGTGCCAACCATGATATACTTAGCCTTCACACCAAGGCCGACATCATCTCCTTCAGGAAGGGGGCCCAAAATGTCCAAGGAAAGACA